CAGAGCAGAGAGCCCCAATCCCACAGAGAACAATCCACGTCTGCCTTGCACACAAGTCTGGGGGCACATAGTCCCCCCCCCACCTCCCTTAGGCTGTGTGCACAGTGGCAGAGAACTGCTCCCCCTCCCGGCCTACTGGCTGAGCCACCTGAAGCTTCATCTTGCTCCCTGCCCTGCCCCTAGGTCCCATTCAGCAGCCTGGCTGAGCAATGCCCCCAGCCTCAGCCTCTGCCCCCGCCCCCGCCCCCCTCCTTTCTTCACTGTGCTGGCCTCAAACTGCCCCACCTCATGCTCCTTCCCTCCCCCATGCCCTTTCCCCTTCACAGACATACCTGTGCTCCATGCTGACTGGCTGCATTCTTGGCAAGGTGCATGCATTGTTGACTGGTCAGACCCAGCTTCACATGCTACAGAGGGGCTGGCTGGGCCATAAGGGTGCTACAGTGCTGGGCTAGTCAACAAACAGCCCCTGAATTGAAGCACCCTCATGCCACAGGCAGCCCTGTCAGCGTCTATACGTGCATTGTGGTGGAGTAAATAACTCCATCATAGGATAGTTCTTGTATCTGGCCGTACTAACCTGTGGCAGAATTGATTGGTATACTTTGGCCTAATAGCTCCACATATGTAGACTGGTGATGCTTTACTGGAGAGCTAACTAGGCAACTTCACAGTAAGCAAATTTGTCAGATGCCCACTATAACAGTGGTCACCCATTTAGCCGTTAACCGACCCTTTTATCACCTCTCTGCTGTTTTCCTTCACTCGCCATGCTGAGATGATATTAAAATGAACAAGGGGGAGGCAGATGTCCAGCTAGTGGGTTGGATGATTTAAGTTCTCCAGGTATACTTACAGGGTTCTTCCTCCCCAACACCCTGATCTGACACTCTCCCAATCAGCCTTATCATAGAATCATATCAAAGAAGTAGGGTCAGAAGGGAACTTGTAGATCTTCAAGTCCGACCCCCTGCCTGGGCAGGAGAAAAAACTGGGCTCAAATGATCCCAGGTAGGTAGGCATCAAGCCTCCTCTTAAAGACCCCCAGGGTAGAAGCCAGCACCACTTCCCTTGGAAGTTGGTTCCAGATCCTAGCTGCCCTAACTGTCAAGTAGTTC